CCCGGCCCCGCCCAGCGCCGGCCCCGCCCCGCCCCGCCAGGCCCCGGCCTCGCTCCGGGTTCTGGGAATCCCGCGTCTTTCCTGGATCCACCACAAGGTCCTCTGTTGGGTCCTAGCCCTGCGACCTAGCTCCCTGCGTTCTTGACGCGTGATCGCTGCCTGGGTTAGGGCTCCAGAGCCCCTGCTCTCTTCCCTGCCTCAACCCTTCCTTGACTCAGTCGCTCAGTATCCTTCATTGTGGACCCTGGATTTTCACTCCCTGAGCCCCCCAGATCCCTGGGGATTTTCTGGAGGTTGGACCCCCCTCCCCACCTTGATTTCATTGCTTGTAACCTCCAGCAGCCCCCTCCCAAAACCTCCAGAGTGCCAGCCTCTGAGCTCCTGCCTTTCCTACTTTACTCCATCATCTCGCCCAGACTCAGGCTCCGCCCCCTTTCCTCAGGATTTCTCAGTTCACGGGTCTGATGCAGGGTGACCACCCTTTTTCCTTTAGTTTCCTCTCCCAGCAAGGTACAGGAACCCTTCTACCTTTGAGGAAGAGAGATCTAAGTTATAGCCCCCTCTCCTTATCCCTTCCCTGATTCCCCAACTTTGAGCCCCAGCCCCAAGCTTAAGATCCTCTTTCCTATCTAGACGCTGGGGTCCAGCTCCCTCTGGCACAAATGGGAAGATCTTAGCAGTACTGTAGAGGGGCGGTGGTTAGGGGCTAGTCAGTAGCAGATACTCCTTTTCTGATCCCTTCCAGCATCTTGTTGAGACAGCAGCCACACATACCACCCCTAGCTCTCCCTTCTGTGCCCTGGCCCAGACCCTCTTGACTTCAAGCCAAGCACTCCCCCTTGCCTTTCCCAGGGCTGCCAAGGTGTTGCTCTGGACCTGGGCCAGCTTCCTGCTGCCCAGTGTGTCTAGGCCTGGCACTTCTCCCAGACTGTGGGCACAGGTTAGCTAGCTGGCAGACAGGCTGGAGACACTGTTTTTGTCATCACTTCTTCCCTAGAAAATCTGACCCAAGACTAGCTCAGATGTGGCCTGGTATGAGAGACAGCCACACCCCTTCCAGTTGTCCACACCTCCACCTTGAGCGTCCCACAGGACAAGTATTGGCAATGCATCATCTGACAAATGCAAAACCAAGACTCACCTTCTAGAGGTACTTGCTCAGGGTTACAGGGAACAAGTGGCAGGGAAGATGCTGCCTAACTCCTGGTCCAGAGTACTTTCCTGTGTGCAGTATGATTCGGTGGGCTGAGTCACGGGTACACCCCAGAGCCCAGTGTCTGGCTCTGTGGGGAGATAGAAGGAAGGGAAGATACAGCTCTTGCCCTCAGACAGCTTTGGTGTCAGACCAAGCATCCCTTATTGAAATGCGTATTAAATGGTAGCATGGAAAATGAATAAAGAATGAACATATGCCCTTCACCTTAGACTCTGCCTTTCTGATACAGGTCTTACCCTTATTCAATCATTTATTCATTCATCAAACATTCCCTTAAACACCATATTCTGGGGCCACTGTTCTGTAAGGTGCTCCTAGTGTAATGGGAGAGACAGACATGATTTCGATATGTGAGGGATCCAGGGTGGCTTTCCCAGAGGCAGGGATGTTCAAACTGGGTGTTAGAGGAGTGGGGTTGCAGCAAGGGATGGTGCAGGATTTTTGAATAGAGGAAAGAGTTTGCCTAAAGACACTACGGTTGGGTGAGGCAGCATTTGGAGACTCTCGGGAGCCTGCTGTAGTGCTCAGATGTGAGGTGGGTGGGAGACGAATGAGGGAGACTTTGAATGTTAAACTTTATCGTGCAGACAAAGAGTAGGCAATCAAGGATCGAACTTTTAGTCCTTTAATCAAAAAAGTATTAATTAGCATTTACTACATGCCAGTTGCTGTAGATGTTGGGGATGTGGCAGAAAACAAGAAAAAAGTTATTGCCCTCATGGAGTCCACATTCTAGAGGAGGAAAGAGGTGATAAATAAATAACATAATGGTGATAATATGCTATGGATAAGATAAAGTAAGAAATAAACAGTAGGGGGTGCTGCGATGGAGGCGGGATTCCAATTTTAAATTAGATGGTTGAGGAGGGCTGAGAAGGTGGCAGCTGAGTAAATATCTGAAAGAGGTGAAGAGGTGAACCATGTATGTCCCTGGGAGGAGAGCATTCTGGGCAGAGGGAATATCGAGTGCAATGTCTATAAGCAGGCAGCATGTTGGAGAAATAGCAAGAAGGCAAGGGTGCTTGGGGCATAGTGGGTGAGGAAAAGCTCAGAGGTGAAGTCAGAGAAGTTGAGGGAGGGGCCATGTAAATGATGGTGTCCTTTAGCTTTTAGTCTGTGAGTGGGGTGGGAGCCACAGAGGATTTGGAGCAGAGGTGGGGCATTATCTCTCTTGGGCTTTAACAGGATTGCTCTGACTGCCGGGTAGAGAATAGACTGAAGGGGACACAGAGGAAGCAGGAACATCATTCAGGAAGTGGTTGCCATAATGGAGGTGGCTATGACAAAGGTGGTGACAGTGATGGTATGGTGGTAAGAAGTGGTCGTATTCTTGATACATTTTAAAGGTAGAGCCAGTTAAGAAAAGAGAGATCTCAAGGATGATTGGAGTTAAGAGTTTTGACCAGAACACCTAGGAAGATGGTGTTGCTGTTTGCAAAGGTAGGGGAAGAACTGGAGGAGGAACAGGTTGAGGGGTGGGGGTAAATCAGGACTCGGAGTTGGTCCTATTAAATTTGAGTTGCCTGTTATACATACCAACGGGGCGGGCAAGCAGGCCATTGCCCATATAACTCTGGAATTCACAGGAGAGGTCCGGGCTGAGTATTGCCAACATAGAAGTTTCTTAAAGCAAAGGAAGAGGCCCCTCTGTAGCAGCATGGAAAACAGCTGGAAGGCTGCTGTGGTGTCCAAGAGAGACCAGAGACCGTGGCTGTCTGAACAAAAGTGGGACCCTTCAGGCTGAAGAAAAAGGTCAAAGGCATTCAAGAGATTTATTTAATATTGCTATATTTTATTTCAATTACAAAAAGAATGTTTGTTGTAAAACATGAAAACAATAACAGATATTATGAACTAGAAACAACAGGCTCTGGTGACTGACCATGTACAGATGAGAGCAGAACTGGTGCCTGGAGGAGGAGCAGATGTGGGCAGGTGAGAAGTTCAGTCTGAGAGGTGTAGCCCCGACATCCGGGAGACATGTAGATGTTCGACAAGGAGTTGGTGTGGAACACCGGCTGGAGACTTAGGAGGCAGAAGGATTCTGGTTTTGGGTAGAGCTAGAAGTCATGAGCCCCAGTTGAGGGTGTGTGTGTGCGTGTGTGTGTGTGTGTGTGTGCGCGCGTGTGTGTGTTTCTGTCTGTCTGATTGTCTGTCTGTCTGTCTGTGGAAGAATAAAACTAAGACTGAAGGGGGAAGTGTAATGCTTCCTCACAGGTGAGGGATAGGCAGAGATGGAGGAGCCAGAAACATGGCATAGGCTAAACTAGAAACTGTTGTACAAGATGCCATGGGACCCCAGAGAAGCCAACTACTCCTTGAGATCAGGGACCATTTCATAGAGGTGGGGCATATGAATTTGGGTGTAAAAGATGATGGCTAGGTGGAGAATAGTACTTGGTGCTATTACAGCACTTTTCCTGTGTGGCTATAGTCTGTGTTGGGTGTCTGTCCCCTCATTTGATGGGGACATCTGAAGAGAAGGAACCAGGTCATGTTCTCATTGATTCCCCAAGCCTGGCACAGAAAGTGTGTTTGTGAAGTAATAAACACCAGCACCCTAGAATGAGCAGTGTTCCTATAAAGGAACACTGGGGGAGAGGCCAGCCCTTTGGGTTTTCATCCCACAGGCTGGGAGGCTGGATCAGCCTCTTGCTCACTGAATCCCTGATGTTGGCAACTGCTGCCACCTGCTGGGCAAGACCAGTGTTGCCTCCTGGTAGCCGTTGTAGCTGAGGCATCTGTGTATTTGGAATGAGAGTCCCCGCTTGTCCTCCAGAACCCCTCAGGCTGGTGAGAGAAACACCTTGACAGTGACAAGACGATGATAGGAAGTACAGGGCTTTGGGGATCTGGAGGCAGCTTGTGTAGGATTCAGGAACAGGATTGTCCTCGGGGCAGAATCATGGCGGGTGCAGAGCAGGAAGGGGCAGCTGACCCAGTCTCCATGGCTGGGGGAGTATGTGTTTGTGTGTGTTTGTGTGTACGTGGGAGGGTTGTTGGCTTTGCTGTCGTTGCTTTTCTGCTGCTTTTAGGCAGGCTTACTCCCTCTTCTCCTCTCCTGGGAAGTCTGGTCCTGACCCATTGTTATACAAAGTGCTGGCCATTGTGTGCGGTGCCTCATCTAACTTTTGCTGTGACCCTATCAGGGTGGCCCTCCACTAGTCCACTTCACAGGTGAGGATGAAGAGGTTCAGGGAGGTGAACACCACAAGTTCATAAGGTCTGGGTGACTTAGTTTGTAAGCCACCCAGCCCTGTACATCCCAGCTGTTTTGACCACAAAGCCCAGCCTCCTGCCTCCTCCTGGTAGCTCTCCTTCTCCCTTCTGGCCTCCTCCATCCCAGCCCAACACCAGCCTGTAACCATCTTCTCTGAGGCCTGGTCTCAGCCATCTCGGGAGCTGGGAAGGAGAGAGATGTGGGCAGCTGGGAATGAGTCCCTGCTGCTCGGTGTGTGATATTTGAGGAATGGCTTTGTGATGGAATTCACTACGCAATGGAGCGGGGTGGGAAGGTAGCCCTGCAGAAGCCGGGCCCAGGTGAAGAGGGCATCTAAGTCAGTGGGAGCCTGGTTGTTTTGGGAGATTCACCATGCACCTGAATGTAAGGTTATCCCTTTTTTCAATGAAAAGTTTTGTTTTTTTTTTAATTTGGCCCATTAATTCTAATTTGAACATTTAGAGATACAGATGAGAGAAGCAACTCCTTACATATATTTAAAATATTTAAAATCACATATTTTTTAGAATGCCTTTATTTTGAAACAATTCTTTTCTACTCTTGTAGTTTGTGAAAGTTTATTCAAACCCTTCACTTGCATTTCTGCCTCTGTGTCACATGTCATGTGTCATCCCTAGCATCTCCTTAGAGTTCCCTAACACAGTTTCCTCAGACACGTCATCTTCACTTGAGCTTGGAAATACAGCACTTTTTGATCCATGAACAATGCTGTTGCTGACATATTATTTCAAGTCATGAGAATGGTTGTTTTTCACCTAAGTGATGGGTTAATATTTGTTATCTCCTTAGGGTAGCACAGAACTATATATAATAGCAGTCTCCAGATCTTTCCTCATTCTCTGTGCTTAATTTTTCTCCACAGCACTTCTTACCATCTGATATACTTGTTCATTTGTTTGTTGTCTATCTCCCCTCACTAGAATATGAGCTCTGTGAGGTCAGGAAATTTTGTTTGTCTTCCTGTTTTATGTCTATCACCCGGAAACACTCCTGCAACATAGTAGGTGCTCAATAAATATTTGAGGAATAAATGAATGACCGTAAAGCTCTTAGATATGTTTGATAGTCCAGTGGCAGCCAGGGCCATGCATGAGGAAGGCAATGGAGCGGGGTGGGAAGGTAGCCCTGCAGAAGCCGGGCCCAGGTGAGGAGGGCATCTAAGTCAGTGGGAGCCTGGTTGTTTTGGGAGATTAGCTATATAGAAGGGGACTGACCAAATTATTAAGTATATTGAAGATAATTGGAGAAATGGGGTAAAATATGGAAAAGAGAAAGCTAGGATGAACTCTGTGCTGCTGGACTGGAATTTAAGCTCTAAATGTAAACTTTTTCCACATATGTATTAGTCAGAGTTCTCCAGAAAACCAGAACCAGTGGAATATATAGAAAGATTTATTACGAGAAATTGGCTCATGGATTATGGAGCCTGAGAAGTCCCACAATTTGCTCTCTGCAAACTGCAGACTTAGAGTCAGTGGTGTAGGTCCAGTCTGAGTCCAAAGGCCTGAGACCCAGGAACACCGATGATGTAAGTTCAAGGGCAGGAGAAGACCGGTATCTCAGCTCAAGCAGTTAGGAAGGGAAAGACAATTCAACCTTTCCCTTGTCTTTTAGTTCTATTCAGCCCCTCGACTGATCGGATGATGCCCACCCACACTGAGGAGGGCCATCTGCTCTACTCAGTCCACCAAGTCAAATGCTAATCTCATCATCACAGACACACCCAGAAATAATGTTTAACTAGAAATAATTTTTAACCAGTCAAGTTGACACATAAAATTAACCATTGCACGGATAAATAAACATAGATGTAAATGTGTGTTTATGTGTACAAATGTGTGTCTACTGAGTGGACCTGGGAGTAGAGTTTACCCTAATTGCAACGAGAACACATACACCCAGTTGTGGGTGTCTAAATATTATTCTCTACCAAAAAAAGAACCAGGTATTCTTCCAGAAATGGCTCATTCTAGGGCTGGCACAGGGAAAGACAAGACGATCCTGAAATATCTTGTTGAGCCAGAAAGAAAGGCAGAGTTCAAAGAATGATGGCACTATCAAAACAGCAAGAGGTCAGCAAGGGGCACCCATTGACAAAACTGGGACAGTTTGAGCATTGGAATAAATTATAGGAATGGATCATGATGCATTGAATAAAATAGGAAACCACAATCCATTCTGATATAAATACATAAATGGCAGTGAAGAGAAAGTTCTTTACAATAGAATGCCAGCAAATAAATGTTTTGACCATTGCAGCAATATTTAATTTGGGCAAAAAACATTAATGGATGCTGAAACCTATGAGTGAAAGTGGGATAAAAAAAAAGAAGTTTCAACGTCTCAAAGTACATTTCTTCCCCAAGACTTATTAATCGTGATCAAGTGATCGATGTAAATACCACTAGTCGTGGTTCCAAATGATTTGGATATGAGAATCCATCATTTCTGTGATAGTTCCTCCCAAAATATGTTCAATCGCTAGGAAGGAGTGAACAAACAAAAACTGAAGGATGGTCTACAAAATATCTTCCCTGTAATCTTCAAAAATGTCAAGGTCATGAAATGCAAAGGCTGCAAGTTGTTCTGGATTGAGGGAGACTAAGGAGATGTGACAACTGGGTACATTGCTTGATACCACATTAGATTTTTTTTTAACCATAAAAGGATATTTTATTGGACACTGAAGAGCAGTTTGAAATTGTTTACAAAGTTAAAAGAAATTTCTACCAAGAGTGTCAGCCCTTCTCCTGGCTGACTCCTGCCAGCCCGTAGGATTCATTTTAGAGAAGCTCCTGCAGAACTTTGACTGACTAGGAACGAAGGGACTTCTTTGTGCTCCCACTGATCCCTGGACCCCAACATCCTTTTTCTGATTATATCTATGCTTCACCCCTGCTAGCCCCGGAGGTCCCTGAGAGCAGGGGTCCCATCTGGATTATGGCACAGAACAGCTTCTCGAAATACTGAATCTCTACAAAGGGGTATATTTGGGGGGACATCTCAACCTCACCTCTTCATCTGGTGTTCAACTAAAGAAATTGTTGTGACCAGCTTTTAGAGATGCACTTGGCTGAGTGGGACTCACAGGCAACCAGGGGTTTCATGGAGGGGTCTCAGATGTATTTTGGGCCTAATCTCTAAGACGTAACCTGGCTGAAGAGGCCTCTCAAAGGAGAAAATTCTCTTACACATTTGATGTCACTGATATGCTCAATGATTACATTGAAAGAAGTGTGGGACACAGAAACCCACCCCCACCCCAGAGCACAGCAGACCCACCATGCTGAAGGATCAGAATGGTGGAAATATCAGAGGGATGAGCAATATAGCGAGGGAGGATGGACATTTGAGATGTTAGGAGAAATTTTCCAGGAATAAACTTTCTTTCTGTTTTCTGCTAATATGAGGTTATAGTTTTAAGTGTGGATAATGCCATTCAAGGTACCAAGATGCCAACGCTTCAGGTTGGTGGAGTTGAGGCGCCTCTCCGCATTGCAGCAGCCCTTGCTCTGTCCCTCATTTTTCTCCTGATGTGGGTAGAGCGCCTCCTTGGGGTGAGGAACACAGGAGCCTCTCTGGGCTCAGCTGGAGGGAGGGTTCCAGGATCTAGGAGGGGAGGCAGGGGCCTGGCCACCTGCCCTGGGCGGAGCCTGACAGGGAGTGCCTTGCCAGGAGGAGGGCAAAGGGCTGTGTCCTCCAACTGCCCCACCCGGCTGACAAGAGTCCCTGTCACCAGGCCACCCTTTCTGACTGGGGCCCTTGTGGGGTAAGTGTCTTTCTGAACCCACCTTTTCTCTTTTCTGGGCATGGGTGAGAACTCCTTTCCTCTTTGGGGGATCCAACACTCTGTCCCCTCTGCTTATCCTTATGTTAGGTAGGGGTGACACCTGCCACCCCTTCAGCATGGCACAGGTCTCCCTGCTCCACCATCAGAAGCACATGAGACTAGGGCACTGGGGGGCAGGTATGGAATGTCTCAGACCCTTCCCTTCCTGATATCAGCATCAGGACCAGGGCCAGGACAGAAGGGCCCAGAGTGGGGTACCTCATCCAGGCAAGCCCCAGATTACTGTTCCCTCCTCTGTCATACTACTACAGAGCCCGGAATCCCAAGTGGCTGGAGCACTGGGGGACACCCAGGCAGAGCACTCGCTGGACCAAGTCCTCCAGGAGCGGGATGAAGCCATTGCCAAGTGAGAGGCAGCTGCTTGTGGAGGTTGGGGGGGAGGGGGTGACCCACCCTCAGGACTCTGTCCTGCTAGAGGAGGGGAGGGAGGAGGAAGAAAAGCCACATAAACACCCACTCGGTCACGAGGCAGGTAGCGTGGCCACACTTGCCTACCCCCAGGGCCCAGCGTCGGATCTGCAGGGCCCAGACCTCAGGCTGTTCTCCCTGTTACCTGCAGGAAACGGGCAGTGGAGGCTGAGCTGGACACATGCAAAGCCAAATTACGAGATGTGGAGGCCCAGCTGCTAGAAGTCCTGGAGGAGAAACTGAGACTGAGGCAGGAGGTGGAGGCCTGGGAGGTAGGGTGGGAATGCCAGTTGGGTCTGGGAGGCACAGGGAGATGAGCCCAGGGTCTGCCCCTTAACCTGCTCTCCTGCCCTCAGGAGGACATGCAGCAGCTGGTGAGGCAGCAGGTCGAGAGTCAGCTGCAGAGAGAGTCCAGGGGCACTTTGAGAGCCCCTGTGGAACCTGAAGCAGCCAGAGTCCATTGGGTCCAATTCTCCCTGGGTCGGTGGGGGCGCTGGCGGTGAGAGAGCTCAGCCCAGGACCTTGAGAGCAGTCTTTATTCATTAAAGCTTGAGATATGACCACCATTATACCCTCATGCCCTCTAAGTGCCTGCCCGAGTCCTTCTGTATAGAAACGTGGAGCAGGCCACAGAGCCTGGGGTTTCAAACATGCCCTCTTTGGCTAGCAACTCTCACACCAGAAAGTCTCGAATGGCAGCCATGAACTCCTGTGGGTGGCTGGCGTGGATCCAGTGGCCAGAGTTAGGCACCGTCTGTATCTGGGCCTGAGGGAAGAGTCTCCTAATCTCAGGGTAGTGGCTGGGACTGGAGATATAGGGAGGAAAAAAAGACAATTAAAGGCAGAGCAGGGACAGATGGAGAACCACGTGAGCCTACATGCCCCATGGGGTTGCTGAGCTCTTAAGAGCCCCCTGACCACATCCAAGCCCTCCCTGAGGCAAGCTCCCCAGGCTTATGCCTGGGTAAGTAAGGCATACTCCACCTACTACTCAGCTTGGCTTACTGTATGTATTTAGAGTGTTCACCACGGAGGAAGAGGGTTGGCCCAGGGAAGGGTTCTTCTTGTGGTGGGAAGGCTAAAATCTTGTCCAAATGCTGGACCACGGTATCCAGGTTCAGCCTCCATACCAAGCGCCCGTCTGCCTCCACCAGGTTGGTGAGCATGAGCTTCCGCATGTTAATGTCCTGTTTGGAGAGCTTCCTGTGAGGCCTGGGGCCACCACTCTTACTTTGACAGGTCCCAACATGTACTTGGGGGCTTGGGGGCATCACCTGGACAACACGGCTGAGCTGTTCATCAGCCAGTTTACGGGCATGGGAGAGGGGCACCTTGTCTGGGATGTCTATGGCTCTCAGGGCTGCTATGTGGGTATGAAGGTTCGGGTCGGGCATGAATTCCACGGGGCTCATGTCCTCGACAATCAGACGTTCCACCAGCTCTGGCTGTGGGAGAGAACCAGAATGGGGACCAGTCTTAGGGCAGGCACAGTGGCTGCAGGCATAGTTCCCAGATCCTGAACTTGGCCATCCAAAGCTCCTTTGAGTCCCAAGTTGCCTGCTGGGCACTCAGAGTCTATACTGGATGGGAGGAAGCTGGATAGGGATGACTCACCCTCTGTAGTGCCAGCAGCATGGCTGTCTTTCCTCCCATGCTGTGGCCAATTAGGACACAGGGCACAAGGCCTAGCTGGGGCAGGAAGTCCTGTAGGTCCTGACTCATGGCCTCATAGCTCATGTCTGGGCTTTGGGAGCTGTCACCATGGTTCCGAGCATCTACTGTCAGCACCTGGGGAATGGGGTAAGGGGAGACAACACTGGCATCAAAATTCCAGGTGTAGACGGCCAAAGGCCTGGAAGGCCTGAAAGTAGGGGGTGGAGAGCCTGGGGAGAGATTCTGAAAGAAGGGGAGAGGGCCCGGTTCCCAGACATAGGAGCCCAGATGAAAAACCTGGGGTCGCTATGACACAGAGGAGAAGGCCTTAGGAGTGTGACCATATCTCTGAGAGTCTGGCCTGGCTGGGTGGCAACCCCAGAAAAAGAAGATGCCAAGAATTTCCAACAGATGAAGCACAGAAGGATGGGCTGCTGTAATAGGTGGGAAGCCCCATCATCCCTGGTGAACAACAGAGGCTGGCCCCTTTGGCAGAGAGGGTGTTGGCACCCTTAGGCATTGTACAGCCAAGAGTAGCTCAGTGTGGGGCATGCAGATGGAAATGGACTGAATAGATGGAAGCCCAAGGGAATGAATGGGGTCCATCTAGGGCCTGGGTCTGCCCTGCGGGCTCCATCCTTAGAAGGTCAATCTCTCCTTTCATCTCTGCTCAGACAGACCTGTCACTGCTCAGCGGAGACCCAGCAGTGAGGGCAGAGAAGCTGGCATAGCTTCGTCCTCATTCCTGGTCCCGCCCGCAAGGCCCCTCCTCCTGCGGGACCCCTCCTCTCCCGGAAGCTTACCCTCCGGCCTGTGTGCTGGGCCAGGGCCTTGGCGACGGAGTTGAAGTTGTTTTTGCTACCTAAGAGACCATGAAGAAAGACGAGGGCCGGACGGACTGCGTCCCCGTCCAGAAGCTTGTAGGAAAGCCGCACCGGTCTGGCGGGAGGAGCAAGGATGGGGGAAAGATTCTGAGCTGGCTGGAGAATGGGTACCGGGGTGTAAGCAGCCAAGCGCAGGAGGTGGGGCAATCGGGGTCGGGCCAGAGGGGAAGAATTAAAGGACAGCCTCCCATCGGGTCCCCTTGACTGACCTTGGATCGGCGCCGCCTTGACCGCTGCTGCTGCTGCTGTGTGCGACAGGCACCGTGGAGAAGCTAGTTCTGGAGAGGCCGAGCCCCCTCTGGGAAAGCCTCCAGGTACGGGCCCAGCAGAGCATAACTGGAAACTGCTACCCAGCGCTCACCTCGCGTGTAAGTCCTGTACCTATGCTCCGCCTGCCGCCTTTGCTCAGAACCCTGCTCAGTTCTGACTGGTACCCCGCTCTCTTCCCCCGCCCCCTACAGCAGAGCTCCCCACCTTTGCTCTTGTTTCCAAACATAATCCCGAAAAATGGTCCTCGCGCCAGCTCCGCCCCTTACGCCTGTACGTTACCCGGTAGGCACCGCGCCTTCCGCCAGGAAGTGGCCCTGGCTACGCCCTGCCTCCGCCCCTGCGAAGCTCCGCCCATCCCATTCCGCTCAGAATACTTGCTGCGAGTCTGGGAATCCGGTTCCAGCCGCGCGGGATAACTTGGCTTTTGGCGTGAGCTCTGGGCAGCCGCGGGGCAGGTCTCCGGCAAGCCAAAGAGGCCCTCTTTGCTCTGGCCTGTGCCTGCAGCCATACCTGGTCTTCCCCTCTGCCCTCACACACTACCTTAGGTGGGTGCCATAGTTTGTGCCGCGGACGGGGGCAGCCGAGAGGCGTGCTCAGTGCTCCACAGTCAGGCGCCTAGACGGGCCAGACGGAGCACCTCTTACCCATCCAGAAGTCATGGACTCTGAAAAGAGCTGGGAGGGACTCTAGAGGGTATCTTCGGCCATCCGCTATCCCCACCCTTTAAAGATAGGGAAACTGAGGCAAACCAGAACCTCTGCTGTGCCATTCATGATGCGAGTCAAGATGGGAGGCCAGGGTCAAACCCTGGCAAGGTGTTTGTACTGGTGGGGGCATTTAAGCTGAAATGGCTCAGATCTACTCCCCGCCTCCCACCCCTCTAATTTACCAGTGGAGAAATGAACAGTCCTCCCACCATTAGAAATCAATACATCCTGCAGAGAAATAGCCTTCCTTTGGAACCCTGACCTGCTACCATCTTCTCTCCCCACTCTGTGGTTGTGGTGGCTGAGGTGGTATGGTCTGAGTCTCAGAGGGCTTCCGCTGCAATCCATCCTTCAGCAGTTGCAAGAGTAGCTACTCTTTCTATAGCAGCGGTTCCCCCCACCCCCAACCCCAGCGGCAGACCTGTGGTCCTTTTGGGAACCTGGCCACACAGCAGGAGGTAAGCTGTGGGCAAGCAAGAGAAGCTTCATCTGTATTTGCGGCTGCTCCTAAGTGCTAGTATCACCGCCTCGGCTCCACCTCAGATCATCAGGCATTAAATTCTCATAGGAGTACCCGTCCCTGGTGCCCAAAAGGTTTGGGACTGCTGTTTTACAGCATTCTGCTCAGAAACCTTCAGGGACTCACCATCCCTAAAGTTGAGAGTTAAAATTTCATCACCAAGTCTCAAGCCTCCACCAGTCTGATCCTAGCTATGTTTTCATCCATGCTCCCCAATCTCTTACTTCCCAAAGAGGCACCCTGAGAACTACACTACACATTACCCTTTAGGTCTTCACCCCCAACCTCCACCCCTCTGCTGAGATGCTGTGTCTGCCTTCCAGATAGCCAGTTGCCTGAGTTCAGGATAACTGCTACCTCCTCCTCTAGACTTCCCAGATTTCTCCAGTTGAAACTAATCTCTTTTACCCCATGTTCTCAAAGCATTTGTTGGAGTCTACTATACAGTATTATAGAACTGACCTTCTCTGCGTTCACCACAGGCTGGGGGCTCCTGGAGGACCAGAGCCATGTTTTGCTCATCCAGTGCAAAGTGCAATTGTAGTTTTATTGAATGATCATGGGGAGATTTAGGGCACTAGCTGAGGCTTATGTGAAGGTTCAGCTGGGGACCTGCTCTGTACCCCCTCCAGGAGATGACACCTGGGCTAGTGTGGGTTATACTGGCCTTTCTCTTGCTCTTTAGGGCAGGCGGATGGAGTCAGTACCAGTGGAGGCATCCTAACTCTAAGGCCCAATAAATGCCTTTGCCTGATAAAACGGCCCCCATCTTGAGTCAGCCTGGGGACTGGCAGGTATTTCGTTCTAATATTAGGAAGGCTTTGAGGTCACTGGGGACTCTACACACGCCAGGTGGTGTGATCATTCATTGCCAGAACAGTCTTTAGGGGAGCGATGAGAACATCCTAGCCCTGGATTGGGGCTGGTCCAAGGCCTGGGAGGGGTCTTTGAAGAGAAGAGTGGATCAAGCAAAGTGTTTTTCTAGAGTTGGTGGAAGTAAGGGAAAGGGGTTCACATAATGTTGGTGATTCAGGAAGGTAGTATTTCAAACTGTCCCCCACTTTCTCTTCAGGCTACTGTCTAGCCCCATAACCCAAGCCTGGCCCAGGACCCTTAACACCAGATCCCCGGATCCAGGGGCAGAAGCAACCTTGAGACATTCCTGAGTCCTGGGCTCCAGCCTTGTCATGTGGCTGGTTAGGGCAGGGTCAACAAGCAAAAAAAACCAAAAAACAAAAACAAAAAAAACTGTGGGCTTGAGGTTTCCACTTGTTGCTACCAGGGAAGGACTTTGGTGATGTCCGGTTTGGGAGGAGTCAGCTGGGGCTGCCCACTCCTCCCCAGCTCATTAGGAACTCGCTGTTGGTCGGTGAGGGTCTGTCTCCCTTTTGGGGGCTGTCAAACCGCTGGAGAGGAGGCCTTCAGAACCTCTGATATGCTGAGATGATGTCGGGGGAAAGGAACGGGTGCAGAACAAGAACTCGCTACCTCTGGCAGGAGGTCGAGTCTACACTTCTGAGTCCCTGTTCCCAGTGGTCCCAATCCCCCTGTGAAGTGGAAGGGTGTACTCATCCTCATTTTACTGCTGTGAAAATGGTGACGCGGGGATGAAGTAACCCAGCTCCCAATCACTCAGCTGGAGAGTGGCCCAGCCCGAATTCCTTCCCGAGCTGTGTGACTCCTGGTGCAGTGTTCCACCCTTAGGGCCGGAGACGGCCAGCCTAAGGGGTGCGGCCTGCGGCGGCTGGGACACTGCACCCTGGTGGCAGCGGCGTTGAATGGGTTAAGGCGGGGAGGAGGCGGCTGTCCTGTAACCGCACCAGGACCTGTATCGGTCACGTGGGCAGGGTTTCACCTGCCCCGCTGAGCAGGGACAATCAGGCAGCTTGTTCCGAGGTTGGTCGCCATGGTGACAGCAGTGCGCCTGGAGAGGTCATCAGGGCAAATTCCTGCCCCCCAGCCGGGTGTGGCAGGGGTGTTAGTCATACTGGGGCGAGCTGGGGCTCCCAGAAAGACCCCTCGAGGTTTCTCACGGGCCTGTCCCCAAGGGACCCCTAAATGACTGCCACCCTGCCTCCTCCCATCTCATTCCCACTCCCCGCGACCGCCCCCGCCCATAGTTCCGTTTCTCTCCTCACAGATTTTGAACCTGAGTTTATTAAGATGCCAGGATTTTCACATACATTATCTTGTTTAATCCTCACAGCAGCCTTTCTCTCGTGGGAGTGGTAATTCCCCTGTGCCTCCCGGAGATTCACTGAGTACTTTGAGAACATTTGTCCTTCCTTCAACAATCCACAGACACTTTTGGAACCTCTCTACTACGTGCCTTTCTAGACACAGCCATGAACAATACAAATCCATGAACCACACAACAGTAGATTCTGTGGAATATTTATTTTCTTCAGAGCAGGCTGGGGAAGCCCTGGGACCATTGTTAGAGGCGGGGATTGCACATGATCATCCCACAAACTGTGGTGTCTAGAACACCCCTGGAGGCCTCTCTGCAACCTCCAGGCCCCACCAGTACCTACTCCCTTCCAAGCCTGACTCCAGGTCCATAGATCATCTCTTGCTTTCATCCATTTGACTTCTCTGCACCAGAACCTCTGACAGGCCCTGTTAACAGCAATGCTTGTCAACTTTTTTTTTTTTTACCGAGTCTCCTGTGCACCGTCACTGTAGCCCCAGTAACAGTCTCATCATTGCACAGATTTTTAAAGTGGGTGGAGTGAAGACATCTTCCCATTTTGAGTGGAGGTGATGGAGGGAGTCCTTGTATTTTGGAAACCAGCAATTTCCACTCCCCGCTTATAAGCCTGAAGGTACACTCCAGCTTCCTTTGCCTGCATTTTGGAGCCTTCATTTATTGAGCACCTACTGTGTGCTAGGCACTGGGGGCGCAAGGGTCAACTCACAGGCCTGGCAGTCTGGTGGAGATTATACTAATGGATATGTAGTCAGTCATACACCTTTGCACTTAAATATGCAAAGGAAAGTGAGAATGTAAAACCAAGGAATCCGACAAGCCCTGGGGTCAGATAAGGTGGCTCTGAAAAAGTGATGCTTGGATGGAGATCTGAAAGAGGAGTAGGAGTCCGCCAGGTGAAGGGGTTACAGTGGAGGATGGTGTTCCACAAGTGGAAACGTCATGTGCCCTGGTGAAGCCATCCCATCTCCCAATACAGAATCTTAGGAGTCATTCTTAACACCTCCTTCTTCCTTACCTCCCGCACCCCCATCCAATCCCTCACATAGTTCTGTTCATTTTTATCTCCCAGATGGCTCTGATATCCATTCACTTCTCTCCATCTCCATGGCCCCATCTCTCCCCTGCATTGCTGCCTTCTCACTGGGAATGTTCGTTTTGGCCCCTCCAGTCTCTAAATGATCTTTTCCAAACGTATAATGTATTTCTATGTTAATCTAGTTTGTTTCTTCCTACATTTTTCTATTTTTCTGTGCTCCAGATTCTGTGTTCCTTGCCCCCTGGGGATGTACATATGTGGCTGACTGAAAAGTAGAAAAGCTGGTTTACGTGTTTTAAAAGCTGAGGCCCTGAGAGGAAGGGAATACCTCAACAGAGACAAGTGTCTTGGCCAAGAATGGGAGGGGTTCCCAGAGAGGAATGGCCCATGGGTTTAGTAGGCAGGCAGAATATTCCCCAGTTCAGCCCAGACAGACACAGTGTCAACCACATGACCGAAGGGGCCAATGAGACAGGATGATGATGTCTCAGCTGTGATCACTATTGCCTGAGGGCTGGATGCTATCCAACCTTCTCCTCCCCCGAGCCTCCTTCCTTGCTCCTCCCCCCAGCAAATTTGGCCCTGCTGAATATCCTGGAACTGGTCCCAACCTCAGGAGGATTAGAGTTCAACTTGTCTCCAAGTGCCTGGGCAGAATGGAGCATGCAAGAAATAATGTCATTGAATGTCTAAGTCTCACTTTCATAACTGCCAAATGCCATACACATTCGTTAATTGACTTTCTTTTTAAATCAAC